TATTATTATTATTGTCACAATTATTATTATTTTTTTACTTGAATTAGAAACGTGAAGTTGAAGAAAGAAAACGTGCAAACGAAATTTGATAACCGGTGATAAAAGGAAAAAAAATACTTAGAAAAATTTTTTTCAAACAATCGTGCCAGAAAATCTGTCAAGTATTGTTCTTCCTTATCTCCTTGTCTATTACTATTATTATTATTATTATTATTATTATCATCGTTATTATTATTATTATTATTATTTGTTTTCATTTTTCGTTTGTTCTTCCGCGAAGAAAATGCTTGCAAAATACTTTCTCGAGTTCGTGTTTCTTTTTCAATTCATTTCTTGTTTCATTTTTGTCTAACTCACGTGCACTCACGTTCGATCGAATGATTTCACGGGAGAAGGAGAAAGAGTGTTTGTGTGTGTAAGTGAGAGAGGGAGAGAGAGGAAGGAAGAGATAGAGAGAAAGAGAGAAAGAGAGAGAGAGAGAACTTTTGTAGACGTTTCGCGAGAGATGGAATAGAGATGATAGGGGGAGGGGGGAGGGGGGAAATGAAAGAATAATAGAAATGAGATATGCTTTCGTGAAACGTCCATGACCCGCTGTAATCTTTGTACTTGTATCGTTACGATAAACCTCTTAAACTGTACCGATTATTCAAGTATTACGACTTTAAAGCGGCAGAAATAATCTATAAATATTGTACTGTAAGTGAAAAAAGCAAAATAAACGTTAAGTATTATCCTTGGAAGATTGATCGTGTAATGTGTATCGATATCACATCGATCGTTATTTTCTTCCTAGCTAATTTCTCTATTTTCATTTTTCTCCCCTTTCTTAACTTTATCGATCACCCTCATTTTTCCTATTTTTTTTTTTTTTTTATTTCTAGTTCGATTTGGAATCTTCTTTCTTCCTTATACTCTCCATTTGTTTCATTATTCAATATAATCAAGAGTGTTTTCAAATTGAGAAATGGAAAAGTTGAAAAGTTTCGGGACAAAGATCGATTACAAGGAAGGCAAAGTTGCAGGAACAAAGGTATATGATAAAAATTGAAAAATTCTCATTATGAGAAAGTTTCGAGTGGGATTTCCATAGGAGAGATTACGAAATTTTCGCGTCCCATAATGGGAGTATATCGATTCAATGGATCGAATGGATCCCCGGAAAACACCTCGTTTCGCCTCCTTTCGATTCAATGCGTCGAACAATGGGGGAGATTCGGTCGCGAAAAATCCAAGGATCCGCCTTTTGAAAAGCCTGGAAAATCCCCGAAAACAAAGGGCCACGTCCAAGTAGCTCGTCGTCTATCGAAATTCGACACGCGGTTGGCCGAGGTGCGATGGAAAACGATGGAAGAACGGTTTCATTGTCGAAGTTCGACAGCTGCGAATCGCCGTTCGAAGATCTCGAGCCCATTCATGCGGCTCGCACCTCTGGCGACACCCCTGAAACCTCCTGTAGAAAACACCTCTCGTCTCCACCACGTCGGGCTGAGAACGTGATTTCGAGCCACGATAAAAGAAACGTCCAATTCCTGGGAAACTTTCCTATGCGAAATCGTCTAATGTGAAATTTTCAACAGGATAAAAATTAATCTTAAAAATCTTGCATCCTTTTTTTATAGATTTTAATCCGAATAATCATCGAATCGGGTGTAAGATTTTGGGAAACCGCCATTTGGAAATAGAATTTTTGGGATAATATTCGAATCGAATTTGTTTATTTAAAATTCAGAGAGAAGTTGTTGAGACGAAAGTTTACACGAAGAAAGAAAGAAAATTCGTCAAATCAAATAATTACAGAATCCATTCCATTCCTTGCCAAGGTGATTGAAGCCGCGTTCTTCGTTCGTGTCACAGAGATAAAAACGAAGCGGATTGAAAGGACGGGTACATTCTTCGTCGGAAGAGGAAGAAGAAACGTGACCAGTAGCATCTCCCCAACGAGAATAATAATAATAATTACCAATTCTTACCACTCGCATCTGACAATTTGCTTCCACCTTCATTATCCCCTCGAATATCCGCCATTGTTTCTGCCCTCCTCAGAGATAGACCCATTATGCGACCTGTTTACGCGGCCGCAAAGGACACGCGGCCCTCGAAGAAGAAGGAGGAGGAGGAGGAGGAGGAGGAACGACGATTTGAGAGGTGGCTACCTTCTCATTAAATCCATTATAGCGGGTGAGCAGCGATGAACTCGAGGCGGAGCCCACGACTGACGGGCCCTCACCTCGGTTAGACAGATCGTTTAGGTGGAATCTAAATCATCCGCAAAGGCCGCCCGCCCCTCCCCTCCTTCCCCTCTCTCCTCCTCCTCGAAGAGAGGACGTTCAACCGCACCGTTCCTTGGCAACCTCTCACGACTTCATTAGTACCTGCTGGCTTTGGAATGCCCGGAGTGGACCCCCGGTTTTTGGTCTTGCACGAGTGGAATGACGGGCCCAGACATTGGCCGGTTATCC